TAAAGAAATGGCAGGGACTTATCGTGCTTGACCTGGTCTTAGCTTTGATTGCATCTGAGTAATAAATGACACAAAGACGTGCAGCAAAATAAAATTATTCGGTAAATAACAATAAAATATAACCGAAGCTGGTGCATGTCAATTGGTTTAATACTTGTTAACATTCGCTTGATTCAAATCCAATAGCTGTTTGAACGTTCGTCAAGCTTGTGATCAGGTCGAAATTCAAGATAGAAAACTACAGGTAACGAGTAAACAAATATGGATAATTGATAGAAATGAGTGAGTAATAGGGTAAATCTATTATCAATGAAAGTCACGAATTGCTATTATGTACCGTTGTTGTTAAGTTTAAATATTCAATATCAGTCGCTAATAGTTTTACGACCNGACCAAATTGGAATTAAAAAATTGAACCATCACTTTAAAATCAGGTCTCATTTCTGAACGGGATGTCCTGAGTTCAAATTCCGTCGCCACAGCCCGAGTTTTTCCATTTATGCATTTCACTGGATATCCTTTGTATAGATGTACAAGTATGCGCTGAATAAACAAAGACAAAGTACACAAAATCATTATTATTATTTTATGTTTTCTGTGATTATCTTATTTGCAACGTTACTTTTCTACCTGACCATAAGACACTCGGTAGGGTGTGACCGAGACACTACTGATGTGCTTTAGATCTGAGATTGGACGTGTACCGGGTTGTTTTTTCGTTAATATAGCAAAGCAATTTCTATCTGGTCTATTACAACCATGAACCCCCTCCCGAAAGGTAGAACAAATCAAATCATGTAAATTTTTAACCATGAGAATCGTTGAAAATTGATTTGGTTTTTGATGCTTTTGGTGTAATGCGGACACTGGTTGCAATGAATCTGTTTGCGACTATTTAAAGATACTAATATATATATTATTCGTATGGTGTTTCTTGGCCATAAACACAGTTTAAGATCGGGTCGTTGCTTAAAATGTGAATTAACAGGAGCGAAAGTGAGTGAACTGTAACACTTTTACGGGAGC